TCGCGGGGCAGGGCCGGGCGCCCGCGTGTGTGCGTGTGGACAGAGGAGAGGGTCACGAAGGGGAGGTCTGAAGGTGGAGGCGCGCGGGGCGGAGAAGCAACAAGTGCCGAGGCCGAGGGGGCGCTCGGGGAAGCTGGGGGCCCAGCCGGGGCTTTCGTACAGCCGAGACTAGAGACTGGGAACCTCCTGTCGCTTTGGTGCAGCGCTTTGCGGCTTCCACAGCTCATTCCCAGTTGTGCGGTTTTATCCGCGCCCTGTGAAGAAGCGAACGGTATGCAGTGTCCTCTGAGTTTGAAGGCCACAGAGAGGACAGCACCTCTTTGTGGTTGTGGTCGTAGCAGAATGAGAGGGAGACCCCTGACTCTCAGTCTACTGTCTGGGAGAAAAACAACTGTCAGTATTCTCATATGATGGTCTCAACTCAGGACCTCTGTAAGGCAACATTTCTCGCTCCATCTTCATTATCCTTAAGGCTTTGAAGACATTTCCCCCTCTCATTCCCACCCCCCGCGGTGAAATTCAACTATCACAGATGCAATGTGCACCTCTGCATATACTGTATGTATATCAGTGCTTTATATACACTGAGCAGGTATCCTGCCCGGATTGAGAATGCTCGTTCTAGAGCCATGATCACTAGTTAACTGGTTGGGTAAGTGGAGTCACTGAGCAATCTGGATGCAAGACAAATAGTCTCTGTAGATTAAAAAAAGAAAAGTCCTCACGCATAAATGTACAACTCTTTCTAATGTCTGCAGGTGCTGCTGTGAGCACAGTTATTTAAGCAGCTTCTGGGTTTATTGTAGCTTTTATTATTTGTAGTCTTTGTCAATTCAATAGCCATTTTTCTTATGGAGACCTGGCCTTTTACGTTAAAATACTTGAACAGATTGGAAACACTCATTTCTAGGACATAAAGTTCTAGATGGCCTTTGTTCTCATAGCTCTTATAAAGATTTTATTTAGTTAGGCCCATTTGGCCTCCCAGGAATGCCCTTTATCTTTCTTGCTTCCTTTTCCCATCTCAGCTGTTCTAGTGAGATGATGGAAACTAGAAGACTTCCAAAACCCACGTCAGATTTGCCCCAGGAGCTTGCATCAAAATTTTCTTAGTTATAGGAATATCTAGATAGGGAGTGAGTATCTAATTTTGGCAAACTTGGAGTATCAAATTCCTCTTCAGTTCTCCTTCACCTGTCAGCATTTCTTACCCAACTGGAGTAAATTGTGGAATTTCAGGGGCAGGGGAACTTTGAAGGAGATACCAGTAGAAGCTGCCTCATTTGGTAAGGATTTTCCTTCACATGTTGAGAGGGAAGAAATATGGATTGGAAAGGGAAAAATGGGAGTGGGTTAAGAATACTTAATGGAGGATTCAATGGATGGGAGATATAGTTTTCTGGCAGGTGGTGGCAACATTTCAACTGCACTTGATCTTGAAAGAGCTTTGGCATAGCTCACCCAAGTTATTACCCACTCCATGTTTTCCCCACTTAGTAGAATTCTACTTAAGATTTGAATGCCTTTGATTTGAAAAGCATTCAGTTACAATGCTAATTAATTAAAGTAGAACAAGTATTTTGAAACCTGTAGAGAGAAATTGGAAGACCACTTCAGCTTAACTGGAATCTTTGTATTCTAATACAATTTAAAAAAATTCAAATGAACATTTTTTTCCCTACAATGACTATCTATAAAGACCTAGAGAGATCTGCATAAAAATTACATGCTAACGTATTTTACCCATGTCTTTTAAGTATGCTGTTTCTATCTCTGTTTCTCTCTGGTAATCTAAGTTCATGGAAATTGTAGGTGCAACCATTTTATGTTGTAGTGTGAAGTCAAAAATCCCCAAACATTTATAATTTGTCAGCTCTATGTTTCCCCCTGGTGGTGTGCTACTTCCATAGCACCTATCCAAAGTAAAATCTTCCTCTATTTTGATAAATTCTTCAGGATGTTGAAAACCTAAATCAGAAGTGTAGAAGAGATGCCATTTGCTTTTCTCCATACTTGGCCTTCTTTGTTTTCAAATATCCTAGGATCTAACATCTGGAGAAGGATTAGCCCTTGAGGTTGATCCGTCTAGAGGAACTATGAAGATCTACAGCTGGTTCCCCTTTTGCTTAGGGCACTATTTTTAAACTCACCTAGTTTTTAAGAATCAATGGGGAACACTTGTTTACAAATGATTCTGGAACATCACCTCAAACCTAAAGCTATAAATAGTATAGGTGCTGCTTCAGTAGACTTCAGGTGACTAATGAAAGGAATTTTGTTGGTTGAGCTAACCAACCAGGGTTTAGGAGCTATAGAGCAGGAATGGAAGAAATGGTTTAAGCTTTGTATGTCACTTTCTTGCCAGATAGACCTGTTCCTAAGGTGGCTGTAATTGGCATGATCTCCTATACCAAGATAAGGTAAGCTAGATTTTCCTTTTGTCAAAAATACTGACTTTTCAGAAATGCCAAGATCACATAAGTATAAAATTTATGTGTGTGTGCAGCTGCAAGGTTATGGGAGGGCAGATTGGAGATTATGTTGATCCTGTGAATGTCTGAAAAAGATTGATGTCAGAATTAAATTTTTTATTCTCTTGAAGTGGCTACTTGAAAAAATAGAACAAATGAATCTGATGCCACATGAGTTTTTAAAGTTTGAATAATACCCAAAGTCAAATTGTTAATGTTTATGCAAATGTTAATATTTTGAAAGCTCTTCTAAATGTTGTTTTAGAAAGCTTCAATTATTCAGAATGCTGAGGGAGAAAGCCAATTTGAGTCAATGGAAAGCTTGCCGTGCAGAATATATGTAACTGTTATTTATTTTGAAATTTAAGTATGCACAGTTAACCAGAAGCGTTTTTAATTAAAATCCTTAATTAAAGTTTTTTAAGATAACTTAAATAAATGAAATTGACCTGTAATTAGCAACATCCTTGTATAAACAGTATATGTGGATACAACACAATACAGTGCACTCAGTAGGCATTCAATAAACATT